CCTCTAGGGTAGTACCTACTCCTTATTTCTAGATTGTGTCTTCCAAGTTGGAGCTATATTTTCTCATTTAATAGTGTCTCAAGACTGAAAATGTTCATTTTCTGGGTGTGGCAGCTCACCTCTGCAATCTCAGCACTTGGGGTAGTTAAGGCAAGAATTGCCATGAATTTGAGATCAGTCCAAAAAAAAAATTTACCTTTTAATTAATTGATTTAATTCTTAATTGTTTTGTATTAAAATGCAGTATTTTCACTGGGTGTGGAAGCACACACCTTTAATCCCAATACTGGGAAGGAGAGGCAGGCAGATTTCTGTGAGATGTAGGCCAGCCTGGTCTACATAGCAAGTTCCCTGACAGCTAGGGATAAAGGGAGACCCTCTCTCCAAAAAACAAAAAGTGCAATATTTTAAAAGCTACCTAATTGCTTCTTTTGTTGTGCTCTTTCTCCAAAGAACAGTGTTATTGAGTTGCATTCCCATCCTTTCTCCTGCTTCATAAATAACTGTTTTCAGATAGCCATGGCTACACACCCCTGTAATCTCAGCTACTCTGGAGGCTGAGGCAGAAAGAGCTCTAGTTCTTCCCACCATGGCAGATAGATGTAGTTCTTCTCCCTCCAGCCCATCATGTATTCCCTTCCCAATATCCTGTCTTCTTGTGGGTAATACAATGTTGACTGAATCAACAGTCTTCAAATTATATGTGTTTGTTATTAAGAGCTGCAGCCTTGTAAAGCTATGGTGAATTTTTATTTCTATGCATGCTATTTTTACTTGGAGTTAATAATGATGGTTTGTCGTCCTCTTCACACCATTCTCTTGGTTTTCTATGTATTTATCAACTCCAGACTCTTTTAAAGTTGTTAAATCTCTTTTCAAGATGATCAAATAGGTGAAATTATTTCCCAGTTTCATCTTCCTGAAATGCTGTCTCTGGGGGTCCTCAGCCTGCCTCCATGGCTTAGGCTGCCCTCTGGGTCCCGGCCTATGGTTTCGCAGGCTCCCTTTGCTGTTTTCCTGCCTCTTTTTCTGAAGCCCACTTTACATAGTGTGGTAACTTACAGGGAATATGGTGCGTAGGAGGCAGATTTTTTTAAGCTCTGTGTGTCTGAAGGTGTAGGATTTTGTCTTCATTCTCATACTTCTGAATTTCATAATGACCTATCTTAGTGAGCGGGATTCTCCAATGTCTAGGTATTTTGTATTTTTTCAGTCCAGAAACCCAGTGTTCCCTTTATTTCAGGGCAGCTTTTAATTTTTATTTATAACGTCGACAGTTTTTTCCCTTCTACTTTCCCTGCCATGTTTCTATGGTGCTTCTATCATGTGGGTTTTGGGCCTCCTAAGGTGTACTTTTGTTTTGCCTTGATGTATTGATTTGGCTTGGTTTAATTTGGTGTTTTACTCTATTTTCTTGGAGATTTCTTCACCTTTATATCACATCTTATCCCTTTAAGTTTTTTTCTTCTGTCGTGATTTTGATTTTCTTTGCTAATGAATGGGCTTTTAAATACTCTGCTGCAGGACTGTAATAAATTCTCTTAATTTTAGATGTTTGTGTGTCTAGAGTTTTTAGCATCTTAAAAGTGATCCTTGTCCTCTGGGTGGATTGTTTCTACTTATTTTGTTCTCTCTGTCTTGCATCTGAGAGTTTCTGTAGGTGCCTTGGAGGGCCTTGTTTAGTCTGTCAGCATTCAGGAGTGAGGGGTCTAAGATAGAGACTGGCAACCCTGAGTGTATACATGGGTGTGGTCAGCCTCACCAAAGCTGATCACAGGAAGTTTCCAGTGTCATTGGTTTCCAGTGTTCCTTTGCTCTTGAGTGGTCATTCTTCAGTCTCCTGCCTGGTGGGTAAAGCTTAGCTACTAGCAATCTGGACCCAAATAAGGGAAGATGCCTGTGTTCGCATTCTGTAGGCATGTATTCATCTAGTCCTGTTCATTTGCCATTTCCTCCCCTATTCCCACATCCTTCTAGTACAGATGTTTTTCTTTTTTCTCTCTAGAAAGTAAGCTTACAGTTATTTTCCAGGGTCTGTGGAAGATGGACAAGACAGCAAGGTGTACAAGGTAGGGGAGGCTGCCCATGAGTCTAACCCCTCTTTCATGTTCAGCCAGGACAGTTTAGCTCAGCATGCCCCCATCTTAGACCTTATGAGGCCTACTAGAAGTTAAAATGAGACAGGTCTTATCACTCTCTACCAGCCACAGGATGTAGGTCTGTGCCAGCATTTGCCCCTTTTTGTCAGTCTTTATGCAGCTGTCTATAGTTTATAGCTGTTGACTCCTGTGTTGTTCTCTTTGTTCTTGTTGGCTTATGCCTTAGAAGAAAAACAGCTTTTAGCTGGGTACAGTGGTGCAGGTCTATCATCCCAGCACTTGGGAGGAAGAGACAGGAGGATCAGGCATTCAAGGCCAGCCTCATCTATATATCTCCTTATTGAGTTCACTGCCAGTGTGGGTTACCCTGTCAAAATAAAACAAAACAAATAGCTTTTACTGTTCTTTAATGGGGTATGGAGAGGAAGTAGAGGCAGCCTTGGGCTTGCAGGCTACCATTTTCACTGGGAAGCCTCATTATTGCTGCTTATTACTGATCTCCCAAAGGTTTAATGTAGCAAAAGAGCCTTAAACTCCTATGCACTGAATGAGGATGACCTTGAATTTCTAATCCCCCTGCCTCTGAGATTTGAGACTACAGGTATATGCTACCACACATGTTTATTGAGGGCAGGGGATGGAACCCTCCAAGGCCTTCTGCATGCTAGGCCAGCATTCTACTAACTACTATCCCCAGCCCTAGAGCTTGAATTATTGCGAAAGCAAAGCTCCAATCATCTATAGTAAATTCTCAGAAGTATACTTTAAAGAATGAGTGACCCTAGTCCTTGAATTAAGAATTCAGTTATGGGATGGAGAGATGGCTCGGACCTTAAGAGCATTGGCTGCTCTTGCAAAGGACCCAAGTTCGGTTCCTGGAACTCACATGGCAGCTAACAGCAGTCTGTCACTCCAGTTCCAGGGGATCTGATCATTTCTTCTGGGCATTGCATACATGGATACACTTACATACATGCAGGTGAAACACTCATACACATAAAAAGAAAATTAGATTTGGGGCTGGAGAGATGGCTTAGTGGTTAAGAGCACTGGCTGCTCTTGCAGAGGACCTAGGTTCAATTCCCAGCATCCACATGGCAGCTAACAACTGCCCATAACTCCAGTTCCAGGGGATCTGACACCCTCTTCTGACCTCCTTGGGCATTGCATAACACAGGTGCACTTACAAGCATGCAGACAATATACTTATGCACACACAAAAAAAAATTTTAAAGAAAAAAGAATTCAGTTATTTGGGTTTTTTTTCCCCCCCTTTTAAAATTAAGGCCTATCATCGGGCGTGGTGGTGCACGCCTTTAATCCCAACACTTGGGAGGCAGAGGCAGGCGGATCTCTGTGAGTTCAAGGCCAGCCTGGTCTACAGAGCAAGTTCCAGGCAGCTGGAGCTACAGGGAGATCCTGTCTCAAAAAGGCCAAAAAAAAAAATTTTTTTTTAAAGAACTTTGGAGTCATGATCCTACAGAGGACAGGATTGCTCAGCCTGTTAAAAAAGAAGAAATATATATTGTAATATACATATAAAATTTCATATATCCTAGTCTGGTCTCAGACTTACTATGTAATCAAGGATGACCCCAAATTACTGACTCCTGCCTCTTCTTGTTCCCACCATGACTGGGTCTATGCACTATCACTTTATAGCTTACACTTCAAAAAATACCATTTGGGGGCTGGAGAGATGGCTCAGCAGTTAAGAACACTGGCTGTTCTTGCAGAAGACTTGGGTTCAAATTCCAGCACTCACACAGCAGCTCCAGGGGATCCAACAGCTTCTTCTGTCCTCCGAGGTCATTGCACAACATGGGTGCACTTACCTACATGCAAACATGCACAGAAAATAAAAATAACAAAAACTTTTTTAAATGCCATGTTAAGTTAGATAATATATTCATATTTCAGTTATCAGTTGTTTCTTTGATAAAAACCTTCTCTGAAGTCTGGACCCTTTACCTAAGATGAGGACCCTTTACCTAGGATGAGGACCCTTTACCTAGGATGGGGAGCCCTCACTGTCATCTCAGCCCTGTTTCAAACTGGTTGGGTATCTCTGGCTCCACGAACTCTATATTCCTGCTTTTTATCCGCTCAGGGAGGAGTGAGCCATTAATTAAACAGGTTAAAGAGATGAGGGTAAGACCTGATCTTCCACAACTAATTCGTTTTAGAGTCAGGACTAAAACCTAGGAGCTTCCCTTCCATAATTTCATGTTTTCTACTCTATCCATTTTAGATTGACTTGAATTGAATTTAGACAAAATAGTTAGATTACAGCATAGAAATGATCATTCCTCATTTTTTCATTTAATCAGTAGTTCATTAACTATCAGTTGGTTCCAAATACTATGCTAGGCAGTAAGAAGAATAGGACACATTCTTGTGTCTGTGTGAGCACGTAGCATGTGCCCTCTGTGTTTGCAGGTGTTAGTGACCACCTCAACCACCTCCCTTTATAGTTAGCCTCACTGGTGGTTTTGAACTGATCATTGGAGGTGAGGGCCTTTAATCCCAGCACTCAGAAAGTAGAGGCAGGTGAATCTCTGTGAGATCAAGGCTAGCCTGATGTACTTGGGGAGTTGTAAGCCAGCTGGGACCATAGAGAGACCCTGTTTCAACTACCATCCCCAAAACAATACAAAATAACATAATACAACAAATCAAAACTGATGACTGGAAGAGACGCAAACCTCCTTGACTACCTTGAAAGCAGCATCTCTCTTGTGCAATCCCTGAGGTCTTCAGTTATGCCCTTCGGGCTGCGTGACCCATCTCCAAGAATGGGCTCTGCTTAGTTTGTCCCGTAAGCTCTCCAAGAGAAAAAATAGCATGCAGTATGGTTCAGAACCACACAGTGGCCACATAACAATTGCTTTCTGTTTATAGGGAACTCAAGCTGGCATTACTATGTGACGATGCCAATGCCAGCCTCCACCTTCACAATTGCAGTGGGATGTTGGACAGAAATGAAGCCCAAGATATGCCCGTCAAGTGATCTGGTGACTGAGAAACCACTCCCACCTTCTGAGCCTGACTTCAGGTTTGTTTTTGGGAACTTGTTGATTTTGCTCTGGGAATGAGTCATCCCTGCTGAGAAACTAAAGCAAAATGGGATTAATCAAAGCAGGGAAAGGCCTACTGGAAAAGAGTTGGGAGGCAGAAATGTAGGCATGTTGTTCATGGGGAAAGACAGAAGAAAGTGAGAAATCCTCTGTGAAGTCAGGATAAATATTTTTAAGTGTTTGCTTAAGTTAAAGAGTTGCAGACTTGAGACTGGAGAGATACCTCAGTGGTTAAAAGTATTGACTGCTCTTGCAGAGGAGGACCTAGGTTTGATTCCTAGCACCCACACGAAGGCTAACAACCATCTGTAACCCCAGTTCTAGGGGATCTGATTCCCTCTTTTGACCTCTGTGGGCATTGCAGCACACACACACACACACACACACACACACACACACACAGGCAATACACCCATACATATAAAAGTAATAAGTAAAATATTAAGTGTTGCAGGTGCAACCATCCCTCTTACCACATCTTTTGACTTTGTCTTAGTGTCTGTCTAGTCTAAAACAGCTTAACGAAGAGAAATTGCTCATCTGATAGATCATTTTGAGACTATTTGCCATTTGTTTCCAGTGACTGCTCTTAGAGGGACAATGCAGGGTCAGCCTCTTCAGGGGAGCTGTTGGCCTCCAGGAGCACAGGGCACAAGGAAATTGTCACAGAGCCATTGGGTTAAGGGAATCCTGCCAAGTCAAGGCCTTGTTAACTTTTCTTCTTCTTTTTTTTTTTTTTGAATGCAACAAAAATCAGGTTGAAGTTTTTAAAAAATTAGTGTAGGTATTGGATTTCACTTGCAGCCTCCCCAGGTGTTCCTGTTTCTAGCTTTGAGAGCTGAGGGAGAACAGAAGGGGCACAGAAATGTGTGGTGTGGTTTCTGCCTAGGTCTTGTGCACTCAGCTCAAACTGAATCGTTTTTCTGTCTTACAGAAACTACTAAGTCCCTTCTGATGGAGACAGTACAGAGGAATGGTACAGATGATTATTTTGTCCTTGAAGGCCAACTCTTGGGATTTAGCTCAGTTGATCGAGTGCTTATTTATTCAGCATGCATGAATCCCTGGGTTCCATCCCCACCACCATATTAGCCAAGTGTGATGGTGTACACCTATAATCCTAGCACTCAGATGGTGGAGGCATCAGGATAAGAAGTTCGGGGTCATCCTCAGATGCATACCAAGTTCAGACCAGCCTTATAATGAGACCCTATCTCAAACAAGGCAGACAGAAAGAAAATCAGCTAAGCCATTTTGGTGCAGACTCCTTTTGTGTTGGTCTTATTTTGTTGTGTTGCTTGTACTCTTACCACAGTGGCTGTGGTTTCCTTATGTGATAAGCCATGTGTTCTCGCCTCTGACAGGCATGTCTTACTGCCTACACTTTCCTTTTTTTGGCAGAATGGAGCTAATTTCTACTTCTTTCTCAGTAAGTAATATGTCAGTTTGGATCTGTCTGTCTTTGCTGATAGTTCTAGTTTATATAGCTCAGGAAAGATTATTATATTTTACTCACATCCTCCTGAGGAGAGAATGGAATTATGAGCAGAGGTGAACATGATACATTCATGTGGGGACACTTTGTTGCATGTGAGACTCTCTTAGTGCTCCTTTCCCCTGCTCTGGGACCACATAGTAGGCTTCATTTGAGTATCTACATTTCTGAGTTAGGAATTCAGGTTAGGGCCCTAGAGAGTTACTTCTCCTTGTGGCAAGTCACTGGAATGCTGCACTGTTTGTGATTGCTGCACTGGTTGTGATTGCAGCATATCCTAGCTGACCTTGAACTGATACAGAAGCCATCAGTTATTTGAATTCAGGGGCCATCTTGATCCCAGTTTTGTCTCTTTCAGTCCTGAGGATAAACCTGTAGGAGATTGACTTCCATGCCAGGCATGGTGGCACACCTTTAATCCAAGCACTGGAGAAGCAGAGGTAGCCTGGTCTATATAGTGATTTCCAGGCCAGCTGGGACTACAGGGAGACCCAATAAGCAAGCAAATAAAAAAAAGTGATTGGCTTTGTTTTTCCCAGTTATAGATAAGGATAATGAGGCCAAGGCAGTTGTTTGTTCGTATTCCTATACCTAGTGAAGAACAATATCTGCCATCACACCCATGTCTCACCCCTAAAGAGGTGGCTTAGAATCTTACCTGGAGACTTTTAAAAACTGAATATGACATCAGAGCCACCTTCTCATCTAGAGAGTACTGCCATGATCCAGCCATTGATACAGACTGGAGTATGTCTTCAGAAAACGAGGTTGAGGGGCTGGTAGAGGTGCTTTCCACCAAGCCTGATGACCTGAGTTTGAGCCTCAAACCCACACAGTGGGATGAAAGAGCTGACTCCTAGAAGTTATCCTCTGACCTCCATGTGCCCCCATCTCTCTGTGTCTCTGTCTGTCTCTGTCTCTCTGTCTCTCTCTCTCTCACACATACACACACACACACACACACACACACACACAAACACAAACACACATACTCACACAAATACCAGTAATTTTATTTTAAGAAAGAAAATAGAAGTTGAGCTCTTGGACCTGCAGATGCCATCCTTACTGACTGGTTATGATATGACACTTTGGGCAGAGGTAAACTTTCCCCTTTTTTTATAGAATGAAGACTTAGTTCATGGATTCTCAATGGTGAAGAACTGCTTTATTCTTCACTATGGCCTCAAGGTTCATTGATGTCAGGAGAGGTGCTGTTGAACAATGTGTGCTCCTGATTAGAGCAACTGGAATTGCTTCTCACTTGCCCTGCATCTGTTATTGTGAATAGGAGGGGATGGTCAAGTAAATGGGGGAACTGGGAAGAACTATGCCTAAGATTCCTCTTGGAGTTTTGAGGAAAGGGTAAATCCATTCTTCTCTTGCCCTCCTATGTTTAAAACCAGTTGAGAAGGAAACAGACAAAAGCTGGACAGAGGAGAGGCTCAGGTGCAGGGTTTGAATCAGTTTTCTAATACTTCCTCCTCACATTAGATGAGCCAAGTCAGTTTTCAACCAGCTAGGCTGCTCTACAACACACATATCCAGGCTAAAACTTGAATAGACAGCAGACACCTCCCTACCCCACTGCCAAAGACTCTCATTGGGCAAGCAAATCCAAAAAGTTAGGTCAGGATCAACCCAGCCAATAGGGAAGATGGGGGAGGTCAAATGTGCCACTCTGGCAACTGCATTCTTTTGTGCAGGGGGCAGGTAGTAGCTGTGGGTGGGACACCTTCCTCCACACACCCTTCTACCACAGACAAAAGGAACATGGGTTTCCTGTCATACATTGGTACACTTGTTCATCAGAAATGTGATATGACAAAGCTATAGCTTACATTTTGCAGTCCTGTTGTGGCTTCATGCTTCATACAGGCCATCTCTGGTCGTCAGAGGGCGGCCTCTGTGTTTTCATTCATGAAGTCTCTGGCTCTATGGTAGGTTTGCCAGCAAGGTGCCCTGAAGTGCTTATCACACTTCTGGTGGTGTTTCTGACATGTTTACATCTCTTGGTCTTGCCTTCCCAGCCCTCTTTTCTACCAGTTCAATTCATGCAAATCTAACTTTTATAGGGACCCTGTATACCGCAGACCTTCATTTGCCTAAAGTGTTCATCTGGGTTCCAGAAATTTGGCCAAAGGATTGGTCACTGAACTTTTGATCACTGTTCATATGGGCTAAATTACAGGAGGAATATTCCCTCTTCCAGTTCATATCACACACGCTCCAGCCCACTCTGGGTGAAAATTTTAGTAAACATATTAACTATAAGGCATTCAGGTAAACTGTCCAACATGTATTGATTTTATTTGGCTCCAACCACAGGAGAATCTTATATTTAATCTCTTAAGGGGCCATACAGTTTATGCATGGCATGGAAACTTGGATAAACTCCAGCAGAATGCAAGCAAAAGTAATGAAAGGCACCAGAAAATAGGCACTGTAATAAAGAAACAAGGCAATGAGATTATTCATTCCAAAAGAGAAGACTTGGGGCATGCGTAAATGTCATCTTTAGAGTTGTAAAAACTGAGAGCGGTTGCCATGTTAGGAAGAGAAAGCATCTTTGAGTTTCTGTGGGGTCTGTGGAAGACTGTTGATGTTGCACAAGCTCAGCATCATCTTAAGTCTTCAGGGCTGCTGTATGAAGTGGGACTTTTGAAGTGGATTGTCATAGAATATTCCTTCGTGCAAGAAGAAACTTTGGGAACCATTTCAGTATGTAATTAGCATGCAATGCAGTCTACAGATCTTGAGGATTTGACTTGAGAAGTTTCTGATCATTGTGGACACAATCTGATCCAACACATTCTGTCTCTGCACAGTGGTCCCTCCTACTCCTTCCTAATCAGTCCTTTTTTCTTCCAGTAGACACACTGGTAAGATGTGGGAGAGATGAGGAAAAAGAGGTCTCAGTTACTGAGTTCCTTGCCTTGGGTCATGGCTAAGCATAGCCACTGAAGCTGAGATTTTTCTGGCTGGTCCCCACTTAGGAACTCACCAGTGGCTTCCCTCATGCATTTGTTATGATCAGGAACCTCACTGGCAAAACTTGTCCATAGCTTGATTGCCTTAAAAATCCTGAATTTTCTCCTGGATTTGGCTTTGCTTTGCTCCTGGGAAATGGTATTAAGTCACGCAACTAGCCTTAATCATTGCCATTAATTAGATGGGTGTCATGTGATATGCCTAGAGAGAATCTGGTTCATCCTTTCCCTTGAACAAATGGGCTTTTTGCTGTACCTTTAGCTACCTCAATCTATTCTCTAACCTTTACTTTTCTTGGTTGTAAGAAATAATTTTCCTACCTGGGAATAGGCTGTGTGTCTTGAGAGAATGCCTCTTCACACTGTGGTATTGTGATACACAGACCTTAAATGTACTCCCCAACTTTGTCCAGAAGATGCCTGTGTTGTTTAACATGATCTGAAAACTCTTATTGTATTCTGTTTAGTTTTTTAGGTTTTTTTGGTTGTTTATCTACTTGTTTTTTGAGTTAGGGGCTTGATATGTCAATCTAAACTGGCCTAGAACTCACTGTGTAGCTCAGGCTGGTGTCAATGCATGATCCTCCTGCCTCGGCCCTCCTGGTGCTGGAATTCTAGTATATATGTATGTACTATCACATTCATCTTCTGAAAACTTCTTTTGTTATTTTGTTTTGTTTTTTCCTTTTTGAAGCAGGGTCTCATGTAGCCCAGGTTTGCCTTAAAGATCTTGAACTGATTCTCCTGCCTCTGCCTTCCAAGCTGAGATTAGAGATTTACAGGCACATGTGTGCCATCAGGCCCAGCTTGTGAAAGCTTTTCAGTAGCAAGTGTGTGAGCTTAAATTACTACAGACCATTATGTTCTTATATAAATAACATTAGAAAAAGGATCATGGTGGTTCACTTAATAGGCAAACCTTGCCATTTTGTGAGAGTGTCATTTGAACTGGTGCATCAGAACAAAGCCGGACAAAAGTGGACATTATAGCAAAGTTAAGCACCCACCCACAGGCACTTTTGCTTTCTTTTCCTCATGAAGTTATCAGTCTAGGGGCTTTGGCTAGACTTTAGTGTCAGCAGTTATATTCTCACTGTCACTTTATCCTGACAGTTTTTAATGGGTCTCCATTTTCCTTACCCTTGATCATAATGAAGCATCATCAGGGCTAGAAGTCATGTTCCTTGAAGCTCAGTAGCAGAAAGTGAGTTTTGTTAACATAGCCCTGTGGATCGCCTCAGTGTAGGCCTTGGATGGGCAGAAGCTACTTCATGAATTTGAAGAGGAATTATTGTTGCAACCTGCCCAAATTGGGACAGGCCAGCATTTAAAAATTTTCTTGTGTTCACTATGAATCACAGGAGCACCTACAGCTAGAATTATAATTTGTAATTTCAAGTTACAGGGGTTTTCCATTGTGTTTGAATAAAGGGCATGCTAACAGATGAAAAAATAGAGTTCTCTTTGATGTAGGTTTCTTTGGCTAGATAAGTTCTCTTGGGGCCTGTGAGTCAGGTTCTAGGAATTTTCTTCAGCTCCGCCTTTGCCTTTCAGGGAATAACTGGCAATGATGGTCAGATCTGTGCTGGCTGGACTCTAGTCTGTTTCCTTAAAAGGTTGACTTGGTTAAATTTATACTGAAAGTGCATTGGAACAGGGCTGGTGATGTAGCTTAGTTGGTAGAGTGCCTGCCTACCATGCAGAAAGCCCTAGATTGAATTCCTAGCATTGCATATACTGGGGATACAACCATAATAATAACACTTGGGAGGCCAAGGCAGCAGGATCATGAGTTCAAGGGTAGCCTGAGCTACATAGTGAGTTCAGGACTACCCTGAGCTATATGAGACCCATATACTGGGCATACACCTATAATCATAGCACATGGGAGGTTGAGGCAGGAAGATCATAAATAAATAAATAAATAAATAAATAAATAAATAAATGGCTATTCTGTTGCTTCCTTTCTGAGTTATGAATTGCCCATTATTTGGCAATTTGAAGATTTTCCCAATGGTAGCACTTGAAAGCATATTACTGAGGGCAGAATTTGCTTTTATTTGGCTAGGAGATGATTTTCTCTTTATGAACATTGCCTCTCCACCCATGTTTATTCTAAAACAAGATCTTTTACTTTCATATAGCTTAGATTGAAGTTAGTCAGTTCAAGCATATCAATATTTCGATCCGCAAATTTCCATTGCTGTCCAAAAACAGACAAGCCAAGAATTTAGATGAACTGTCAGCTTATGATCCTGTCTGAACCACTGTCCCCTCAAAGTTGTCCATGTCTGCAAGAGTTCTTCACCTCCGTGGCAAGAAGAATAAACATGACTTACCATTAAGTGCACCTGTTCTTGTGTGTGGTTCCCAGGTATGCTGACATTTGTGGTCATATGGAGTACCCCTGCCGCTTCAAGAATGCCTCTGCCACCACCCAGAAGATCATTCCTCATCGAGTCTTTGCCCCACTGTGCCTTGAGGGTGCCTGCCAAGAGACCCTTCTGTGGCTCATCCCTCCTTGCCTCTCAGCTGCACATTCTGTCCTAGGAACACACCCATTCTCCCGGCTGGATATACTCATCGTCCCTGCCAACTTTCCAAGTCTGGGGATGGCCAGGTATGTCATTCTGCTATGGCACGGAGAGTACATACTTTGGGATTCTCTTGCTATTCTTGAACTCTGTCAGTGATTTCATTTGCTTATAATAGAAGGGCCCAGTTGTTCATTCTTGGATGTCTTACTGCTGCCTTGAGGGGGAGTTTTCAGGTAGATCCCACCATGTATGAATGAGCCTGTGGGTAGCATGGTTCCATTCAGATTGCCTTGAAAATGAGCAGCTCACATGTGACTGGGGTTGAGAACATACTCTACCCTCTGGAGTGATGTGTGTTGGGTCATGGCTGATCAGTGACTGTTAGCTTGGATGATGAGAGCATAATGCTAATGAGTCCAAGGTCATAGCATCAGGCTCTGGGCACAGTAACATGACCTGGTCCCAGGGCCACAGGCTGCTCACTTAATCCTGACCAGCTGTCTCATCCATTCTCACCATTGGTCACAAGGCAACAACTTGAGAGCTCTATGTTAGAGAGACGGTGTATGGATCAGCATAAATCCATCACAGTGCTGGAAAAACAGCTAAAAGCAGATGAGTTACCATGGGGTGGGGTGGAAACTTATGACATGTTCCTATATTTTAATACAGTAAATATATTGTTCTTACTGTGCCTCCATTTAGTTCCTACAAAAAAAGACCTGCAAAGTTGAGTCTTTCCTCTATATATTATTTACAGCTGCAATGACTTCATTAGCACCACTGTTCACTCAGTCGTGTGTGGGCAGGTAGTTCTGCTTCACTGAAAACAGATAGAGAATGTACATTGGTTATACTTCTGTTTGCAAAACTTAGTCATTAACAGTGAGTATGCCTGACTAAGGATGGGGAAAATAAGCTCATCAAAACATGGGACTTTAAGTTTTTCCCTATTAGTCAAGGAAATTCCTGCTGCCAGTTAATTTCCATGCTTTTGAACAACTGTCATTTGTGGTGTTTTCCCTAAAAACTGCACACATTCTTAGTAAAATCCATGAGTAGAAAAGAACTGACCAGAACATTTGCTTTTGATCTTTACTAAACACATATATTTTTTAAAAGACTGGCTGGCTTGCCTTAATCCTTGAGGAGGTCTGAGAAAGTCATTTAGGCTGATTTTTATCCTATATTTATAAAGATAATGGAAATGTAGAAACTAGGATAATTATATATATTTGGTTACATGCATCATATAATTGTCTTGATGTCTATATATAGAATTTGTCTTAACAAGGGGGCTTCTTTGGTCCCTTTGAAGAGTCTCCTGGACTTAATTTAAGCAGAGTTATTGGTGAAGAAAGGGTTATTCATTAAATGCTTCTGATTTGTATATAGTTTTGAAGGGCCATATTTATTTGGGAGTTCTTTTAGCACTTTATGAGTGTTGTAGTTTTTCAGAGCATGTTTGCAAATAGTTCCAAGTTCTGACCTGGGGGAACCAAAGGCAGAGAGTACTTTTCATACACAGGACCTTACTTTCTATAGCTCCTTCAAACATTAGTCTGCCAACACTAGAATATGTTGACCTGCAGGCCACTCTATAAAGCTTCTCTTTTTGAGTTTGCATGTTCAAGCAGATAGACTGTGTGTTTTCTACTTTTCAAGATGTTTAAGATGATTCAGATATGCTTAACACTGTATTTTTAAAATAAGCTTAAATACCTGAAGGCCAAATGGTACTGGGTACAAATATCAGAAACTGGGATGGTGATCATAACTTCGCTGCAACAAGACTGCGTTTATGCTTCAACACAGGAGAACCGTACATTTGAAAATCTGTGGTTGTTTGTCAAACCCACCCACCCCTGCCCTTCCGTTTTAGGCTGTGGGATTGTAGAAATAAAGTCTGCCCTGGTCTGGATGTTTTCCTGGGCTTCATTGCCATTCTCTGCATTTGAGCTGTGGAAGGAGGATTGTGGTGTCTTACACTGCCAGTTGGTGTGTGTGTGTGGGGGGGGGTGTTTGCTTTGTTTTTCCAAACCCTGACATAAATTGAGTCCACATGCTGGGCTTGCCTCTGTCACGATCTCCCACACCTTGAGCCACATGCAGCTGAGTGGTGTTGACGACTCGGCTGGCTACTGGGGCCCTTCTACTTTATTTATGCTCAGGGCTTTGCTTGAGGGTCTGTGGAACAAAGCTGAAGCAAAACTGGTAAGCATGGAGGTCAGCTCTGTACCTACACAGGAACAGAGAAGATCCACAAGTAGGAGGCACGTCACAAAAGGCCTCTGCACTGAAACTCGCCGTTGTCCGGATGATTATGGTGTGCTGAAGGATCAAAAGGGTTCTTGGTAAATTAACTGACTCTTTTCTGAGTCCCTGTTTTATAAACATGTATGCAGGATCATAAATTCCATACCTCTGGGCTTCTTTAGCGATTAGGTCTTAATTATAATGGGTACCATTTTTGGCAAATGGCATTCACCATTCCCACATGAACTAAAACATGCAAATCATTAACTGTGTTAAAGGATTTAAATTTTTTTAAACACACAATGATTTCACTATATTTTAAATATTTTTCATCATAGCTTGTATGAATATGCCTAAAAATCTCCTTTCAGATTCTGCTTTTGAGCTTAATGTGCTATTTCAGTGAAGTGGAAAAAAAAACCCAGTTTTGTAACTTGAATGCATGATGACAAATCACTTTATAAAAAGGGTAAATAATATACAGTGTTTTAGAATTTGTACTTCTTTTCAGACAGAACACTAGTTAAAGTGTTTATCGGTATTGTACTTCATAATTTTTGTCATCTTTTAATATAAGAGCCATGCCTTAGCAACTCTCACCTCTGCCCCTGGCCTTTTCTGAATCACTGTTCAAAGGGAGAGATGCTTTCATTCAGTTGTGATTCTCAATAAAAACTCACAAGTTTGCCTTTAGACACTCCTTTGGCCATTCCATTCCCATACTTTTCTCATGATATGTGTGGGCTTTCTGGTTTTGTTTCATTTAATTTCTGCCTTCCATTAATACAAAGTCTACCATATCAGGAGCTGTGGAGTGAATGAACGTGTCTTGAATTACAGACTGCTTGATGTCTACATGAAGACATGAGTGCATTTTAGATGGGCTTCCTGTGTACAGAAGGCCCTCCACCTATTGGTATAATGAATGTTCTGCCATTTTCATTATGACCTCGTGCATTCTCAGTGTTTCAAGGAGATTGAGTAGCAAGCCTACTCTCCTAGTAGTAGTACATGACAGGAGCTCATCATCACACTTACACTTCTTGTTACAACAGCAATAATGTCAGTGTAATAATGTCCTAGAACTAGATTTATGACAGTTGCTTAAAAATTAACACATCAGTCTTACCTCTGTGCGTGTTTATAATAAATATTTTGCTTTACCATTTGTCTTTCAGCAGTTCACAAGTATATGTCATGGAGCATAATTGGGCTGGCAGAACTACCTCACTGACATCCAGATATACCCCCACCCCATCTGAATTTCAGGAGTCCTGCAAATTTTCTCTGAGTGGTGGTTTTTTGTTTAGTGTCATCACAAAGCCATACAGCTCTGCGTTCTAATGCTGCTGTTCACATGTTAGCAGTATGGTTAAAGAGAGTTGGCAAGTTCTGCTTTGACCTCTTTCCACTGGTTCCATACCAGATTGTTTTCCTCGTTTGTTTACTGTTTATTTATTTATCTAGTCAGTCTTACAGTATGTTTCTATCAAGCAGGTATTGCTTGCCATGTAGTACTTCAAATGCTGAGCCTACAAGGGTGAACAAGGTTGATGAGATCTCTGTTCTCCATGGAATGGACAGTCTAGTCAGGGGAGAAAAGAGAATACATGAAAACAATGGAGATGTGTGTTATGAAGAAAATAAAACCATGTAAACCAGAGAGTAGAACAGTCACCTTTGGGTGGGGTCAGACCATCACTACCTTCATACTCGTGTGAAGGAAAGCACAGGGCCACTAGGAAATGCTTCCAGTGAGGGGTCATGCCACAGTCACAAGGGAGATCCGATTTTGTCTTGGGACCATAGGTGCTATACTGTCTCATGTCCTGCTAGTTAGAACCGGACTGGCCTAGCAGCTGCCATCCTTGAGCAGAACCTCCATTGCTGGACCTGCAGAGCACCTGGCACCAAGATGGGTGACGAGTCCTGTGTAGAGAAGAGAGCCACCCCAGCTGCCGAGTTTTCTTCCCTGCGGCTGCTGCCTGATCCCTTACAAACCTTTTGACGTAGGAGGTCGAAGGGAGGGGAGCTGGTTTAGATATTTTCTCATCCAAGTTTTTTTTTTTAATTGAATAAAAATAATGTTGCTAGAGAGTTGAGAGAAATAATTACTCAGATATTCTCAATGTACTTCATAGTGAAGAAATACTGTAAAGCCCTTATTACACACAGCTCGTTCTTAAAAGATTGAGTTGTGCAATCAAAGGCTTCTGAATGATTATCCGAGTTCCTGACTTTGCATGCACAATTTTCTTAAGTACCTCAATTGCAAATAAATGGTGTGCACATACTTGTCCAAGAATGAAGGTAACCAGCTTTTCCCCACCCCGCTCCTCCTGGAGTGAGACAGGGTGTTGTCCTGTTTACCCTTATCTCCCAGCCAATTCGTAATAGAATAAGCAAAACATAACATGCTGGTACAAAGGGCTTGCTGTTCTCAGCCTGCTAATTGTGCTGCTTTCTGCCAGGGAAGGAAGCAGTCATAAATTTCTGTCATTATCTTAAGTAGTAAGGTTTCACAGCTTTGGAAGTTTTTCTTTCCTTGTTCTTTGTTACCTTCCACTTGAGTTTGTGATCCCCTAAATCCAAACCACCAAATTCTTAAACAGTCCTCGTTTAAATGTCAAGGGATGTGACCCCCCGCTCCCACCCCCTGATTTCAAGGCAGAATGCAGCCACAGTGATTCTTTCCCTCAGGAATTGGACTCTGGGACTTCAGTGAACATGCCTTTGAGCCTTTGACTCAAGTCTGCTCACTCTGTTTTCTCTCACATGTGTGGATTTTGGATTTGTATGTAGGTTTTGTTTTGAGCTTTGGTAGTTT